CGAGCGGTGGGAGCGAGCCGGGAAAAGCAGGCTGTGTGGGGGAGGTGCCGAGGGTGCTGAGGAGCCGCGAGAGCGAGCAGCCGCGCGCGCGCTGCCCTGGAGCTGCCTTCTGGTGCCTGGGCGGGCGGAGGTGGCTGAGAGGGAGTGGGCACAAAGGGCCTTACGAGGGGAGTGCAGGTGGTTACAGGAGCTGTGCTACAGCCGCTGTCAGAACCGAAACCTAAACCCGGTCAAGCGCGCGTCTCTCTGAAAGGCGGTTTCTGCTGTCAGCAGAGGGTCCGTGAGAAAGCCGACTCGGTGCGTAGCTGGATGTACGTCTCAGCCAGATTGGCGTCTTGTCTTGTCTAGGACAAATGCACCAAAACTGAACTTTGGAGGCAGCACCGCAGCTCAGGCTACTGGAATCACAGGGGGCTTTGGATTTGGGAGCTCCGTAGCAACGAGCGCGCCGTCGAGTCAAGCAGCCGCTCCCTCTGGCTTTGTGTTTGGATCTGCTGGCAGCACCACCACCACCAGCGCTGCGTCGGGGACAACTGGAGGGTTCACCTTTTCCAGCAGTACCACGACTCAGGCCGGAGCAGCCAGCTTCGGCATCGGCGCCGCAGCTCCACAAGCGTCGCCAGCGGGGTTGGCCTTTGGAACCACGCCTGCGGCTGGCGGCCCCCACACGTGCCCAAGGGCTGTGAGCAGGGAGGGCAGCTGGGGGTGGCGTTGGAGGGTCTGTGGCCTCCTGCTTCTGGTGGCGCGAGATAGCGCGAGTGCCTGGGAGCAGGGGTTTTGTGACGTGCTTGGGGTCTTGCTGTTTAGCCTTTGGGTTTGGAGAGAGAGGCGGAAATAATTTTGCCAGCATTAATGTTTTTCTTGTGCTCTCACTGCTTCTAACTTGACTGTTGCTGTGCTTAGCAGAAACGACAGTGTCTCGGTAGTGAAAAGTTTTTTTCCTTTCACGTACGTGACTTGTTCCAGGTCTAAACTTTGGGTCGTTGCCCTCAACAGCAGCCACGAGTGCACCCACGGCCACGCTGAGCGCTAGTACCAGCCAGGGACCCACGCTGTCCTTTGGAACCAAACTTGGAGGTAGGAAGTGACTTTGGGAAAGAATTACTCCAGACTTTGTGAATCTGCTGTCCTTCTGGGAATAGTTTTCTCAGCTGGAGTCTGGAAATGGGCTGCGAGTGTAGCTGTGAACTTGCAGTGCCCTCAGTGATCTGTGACCATTTGTACAGCCGTTGCACTTGGTGTCCTGTATTTTTCCTTGTGTCCCACGAGGCAAATTCTGTTCCGTGCTGCTCGCGGGAGCGCAGTGGAAGGGAGCCACAGGTTGAAAGGGTACCTTGGAAAAGAGATAGAGTTGAGGTAGAATGAGGGGACAGATAGTTTTAAATTCTATACCTCTGTAAAAGCCTGGTGTAGATAGGCAGATTTGTATCGCATTCTCCGTGTGACCGTACAAGATGTACACTTTTTCTGTTTGTAGTAACATCCACAGCTGCTACAGCTGCCTCTACCAGCACAACCTCCATTCTTGGTTCAACGGGGCCCACGTTGTTTGCATCTGTAGCGAGTTCTTCAGCACCGACGTCAGCTACCACCACGGGCCTCTCGCGTAAGTCGCAATACACGGGTTGTATCCGTCGGGGGAATAAATGAGCAGCATGGTTGGAGGCACCTGGCAGTAGTGGAGCTGCAGGTGCTGGGGTAGTATGGGAGAATTCACGGGGCTTTTCTGAGTGCTGGAAGGCAGTAGCCCAGGTTGGAAGACAGTCCTAAGAGCTCTTTTGCTCAGCCTGCAGTGAGATGTTAGTGCTTCAGTTTCCTTTGGTTATGGAGACCAGTTACAGTAAATGTCAGTGGTGACCAGTCCTAAAGCTGCTATTCAGTACATAATGGTGTCTTGCACCTCCCTCTGACCGTTTAGGCAGCTGCTCCCAAGGACCTTGAGAAGTTTTACGTGAAAGCCACACCGATCACTTTGAACTAATCAGCTGCGATTTGTAGGTGCCACATACACCATCCTGACAACTTGCATTTCTAGTAGCTCTCCGAGGCTTGCGTTGCTCCTCTAGTTCCAAAGCTGACCTGAATCTTAGTGTTTAAGGATGCTCTTAAGCTAATGAGCCCTCTCTGTTTATGAGGATGTCTGAAGCCTTGTTCTTAGGTGGTAGTAGGTGGGTTGTTTCCAGGAGCTGAGATGTGACCAGCGTGTTTTCTGTAGTGTGTGCAATTGCATTGCTTGAGCACGTAGACTCATGCGGAGACTGCATGTCGTGCGTGCCAGTACCCAGCACCCTTAGGGTTATTTTAGCATTTGATAGCAGTTAAGTGTTAGATAATTCAAGCTAGGTAGAGAGGAGAGACAGTAGCTTGTCAGCTGGGTTGGTAAAAGGTTTGTGGAAGAGTCGCTGAGCATTCTGTCTGTTTTATAGTCTCAGCCTGCCTTTTCTCATGTTGTGTGCAGATGATGCCTCACCTAAACAGTGATCCTGATTAATACAAATAAAGACCAGGTGGCGTGTGGTGAACAGGTGGGGTAGAGCTTTTCAGAGGGGGACTGTATTTAATGGGCTGTGCAAACTCTGAATGTTGTCTTCTGTTTGCAGTTGGTGCCCCTTCCACTGGGACGTCCAGTCTTGGAACGCTTGGGTTTGGATTAAAAGTTCCTGGAACAACAGCTGCCGCGACAAGCACCGCCACGAGTAAGAGACCTCAATGCTGGGAGTAGCTGAAGAGAAGGAAGCATGACTTCAGTGAGGTGTAGTAGTGTAAAGGGCCATGCTAGTGTAGCAGCACAGCAGTTCTAATTTCTAATGGCCTCCGGTAACGGGAAATAGCACCGTATTTCTTCCTCTGATCCTCCTTTTCACCTCCCCAAATGCACAGTTACTTCTAACTTTGGAGAGCCTGTGGGGGAAGGAAGGCCCGTAGGCTTTGACGCTCTCGTCTGGAGCAGGCGAAGTGAACAGCTGAGCTGCTCCTTCGCGAGCCTGCCTGTGTAGGTGCAGAATTGGCTCAGAGAGGTGAGGGAGAGGTGTCCGATGGGGGTGGCAGAGGCCAAGGATTTTTGGGGAGTGGTAGGGAGGGATCTTTTGTGTTTCCGTTCTGCCCCGTTCAGCGGTTGCTTCCATAATGTAAGTTTGTAAGTGTTGGATTTCGTGAACTTTTCTTCCAAAAAAGAAAATGGAGAGACAAGTGCTGTGTTGAAGTGGCAGCCCTCATGTGAAAACCTGCAGTGGAATTTGCTGCTGCACAGTGCTGGGATTTGGGACTGGGCATCCTTTTCTGGATGCAGTTACCGGTCAGTTTTCAGTGCAGCAACATGGATGCTGCTCAGCTCTGAAGATCTCTCTAAAGCTTGTTTCTGGGCCGCCTGTGAAGAATCTGAGCTCAGTGCCTGGAAGTGCGTTGTGACTGGCTTGATGGTGCCATCTGACAGGTGCTCTTAGCTATGTGGAAACACAGAAATCTCAGATGCAGGAGAGGAGCTGGGTGTGCTGGTAGTTACTAGGCCTAATCCTAAAGCATGAGGAGCTTGAGAGGGGTGTGTGGGCTAATGCTGTGTTTCCTTGAGTAGTGCCCTGGTGCAGGCTGACAGTTCCTCATGTCACTGGAACGACCAGTCAGGCATTTACAGTCCACCGATTTTGTGTCAGGATGTGCTTCATTCCCTTCTTGTGAGATGTGGGATTTGCGTTTTGTTGAAGGGACCTATTGCAGCTCCTACAGCACTGCGCTTTTGGATGTGTATACTGGACCTGTTCTGGATTTGCTGGATAGCAGATGTGTGCTCTTCCGTTGCTTGCCTTGAATCTCTTCTTTCAGGCAGTACTTCTGCTTCTGGCTTTGCTTTGAATCTTAAGCCGTTGACTACAACTGGTGCCACTGGAGCTGGGACTTCTACAGCTGCCATAACCACAACCACCACCACCAGGTGAGTTTTGTGTTATAACTGGCAGTTTCGCGACTGGGGTGAGAGGCGGTATTAATGGTGGTGTGCGGTGGAGGTGAATTGTCATGTTTATGTGTTGGTTTTTGATCTTGTGTTGTGTACTGTCCTGCACTTCCTCTCAGCACGCCTCCAGTGATGACTTATGCCCAGCTGGAGAGTTTGATAAACAAGTGGAGCCTGGAACTGGAAGACCAAGAGAAACACTTTCTCCATCAGGCTACACAAGTTAATGCCTGGGATCAGACGCTGATAGAGAACGGAGAGAAGGTAAGTTGCATGCAGGGTAACCTGATATTCTGGTTTTGGCTGGGATAGAGTTAATTTTCTTCCCATTATCTTCTTCGTTTTGGATGTAGTTTGAAAAGAGTGAAAATACACTGATGCCTATAGTTGTGCTAAGAAATCAAGGACCTCTCTTCAGTTTCCCATGCTTGGCTAATGAGCAGGTGACTAAGAGCTGGGAGGGATCATAGCCAGGCAGCTAACCCAAGCTGGCCGAGCTGCTCAGGGACAGGCTGCACAATCGGTCATTGGGCGATGAGAAAAATGGTATTGTGTATCACTTGATTTGCATATTCTTTATTGTTATTATTATACCTTCCTTTATTGTCTCATTAAACTGTCTTTATCTCAACCCACGAGTCTTACTTTCTGTGCATTATCCTCTCCATCCCACTGTGTGGAGTGAAGGAGTGAGTAGGTGTCTGTGTGATCCTAGTTACTGGTGAGCAGCGCTCTAGCATTTAGGTGCTGGCTGCCAAGTTATAGCATGACTCCTTAGATCCTTAAAGGCCTTTGGTGTTACAGGTGCAGCAAGCCATCTAGTGGGACTTTCTACTTGTCGAAAACCAGGTGTGAATTACATCTGGGTGCTTGTGAAAGGCTCACTGGATGTCTGCTGTGGTCTGTAGGCCTTGAAGCTTGGAAATCTGTTCTGTGAGATTAGACTCTGGTACCAAGTTATCTTAGGTTGGAGCTATCAAAGCCAAATGTCCATTATTCAATTTTTGGTCTGTAGGTATGTGTGTAACTGTTTCTGGTCCCTGGTAGACTTTAGGATGTTGCTAGCTTTCTCTGTTCCACCACTGTTTTTTTGTAGTATAATTGTCTTCTGTTTCCAGATTACTTCGTTACACAGAGAAGTAGAGAAAGTGAAGCTTGATCAGAAGAGGTACGAAACTGTGAACACTGGAGATGATTTGGTGGTGTGGGTTTGTGTGGTGTAGGTTTTTTTTTTTTTTTTTGTCATCTTGCGTTGTCGTATGGCAGACCTGGAATGTACATGACCTCTAAGTGGAGTACTTAACACTCTCTTTTTAGGCTGGATCAGGAACTAGACTTCATTCTGTCACAGCAGAAAGAGCTTGAAGACTTGTTGACCCCTCTGGAGGAGTCTGTGAAGGAGCAGAGTGGGACTATCTACTTGCAGCATGCGGATGAAGAACGGGAGAGGACGTACGACAAAAATCTGCTTGGCACATGGGATGAGCAGACTAACGTGGTGGTGATCAATCAGCAAGAAGGACAGTTGGGATGCATGACAATACTGATCTATCAACAGCCTTTGTCAAATACGTAGTCGTGCTTGATGCATGTCAGCTTAGATTTTACGTGTTAGAAAGAGGGGAATTGCAACTGGAAGCCCTTGAATCCACGCTCTTTGGCTGTTGGTTTAATGAGGTGTCTGGGAAAAGGTTACTAATATTGGCACAATGTCTGAGAGTCGGTGATTATTTAGTTGTAGAAGCGATGAGAGCAGGATGCTCTATGTGTGGCTCAAGCCTCCTTGTAAGCCTTAAGCGTTGAATCGTAGTAGGGTAATTAAACAAAGCGTTTGTCTGCTTCAAGAGATAGGAATCTTGAAGAGTCAGGACTAGCTGGTTCCCTCAGTTCTGACCAAAGCTTCCAGAAAGCCCTACACACTGCTGCTTGTCTGTCTCCGTGTTGGGAGAGGTTAGGACTTACTTCATCTGCGTGGTAGAATGCCTCTCACGGCGCTGTTCCCACCTATCTGACAGCCTTGGTTGAAAGGTGTGGAGGCTGATTCTGATTGCCTGACGTTGGTGTGACTGGGAGCAGGTCTTTGGAAGTTGACTTTAAAGATTCTGACCTTGGTTTCCATGCATTTTGCAGCTATAAACTGGCTGAAAACATAGACGCTCAGTTGAAGCACATGGCACAAGATCTGAAGGACATCATTGAGCATTTAAATACTTCAGGAGGCCCAGCAGACACGAGTGACCCGGTAAATCCAAGCTTTGTATGGCACAAGATCTGAAGGACATCACTGAGCACTTGAATACATCAAGAGGCCCAGCCGACACGAGTGACCCGGTAAATCCAAGCTTTACTTTTTTGTGTGCTGGTAAAGAGGCAGAGGCTATATAAACAGTACTAACTGTTGGTTTGTCCACTCGTGGATACTTTGCTGCTTGTAGTTTCAACCTTGGCAGAGTATTTTGTATCGTTCTGGGTTTGGTTCTCTTCTGGTAAAACTTGCATTATAACCCAGCACAAGCCAGTCTGACTTACAAAGTTACTCTGCAGTTCTGTTAATAATTTTTGAAATATCTGGTTCTGGTGTGAGCTTTGGGTATTTGCTTGTTGTCTAATTTTGCCTAGTTTACAACTTCTTTCAGAGGCTTTTCTTAATGTTGAGCCAGCTGCCTGCTTCACCGCTTGTGTCTTTCTTGTCGCAAATGCAAACTTTGTTCAGAATGCCCTCCGTAGCTGGTAATGCTTTATCTTTATACTACTTTTGTATCCTCAGCAAAACAAGATCTCAATTAGCAGCTCTTTCTGCTATGTATTAACTTGATCTTGATATTCCTTGTGGCTTTACTGAGAAGCTTTCATTGTGTAAAATTTCCCTTCACTATTACAGACTCAGTTTCTTCCCATTCCTTTTTGCTTTTGCCACCTAAAGCCTAAAGTGACAAATGTTGTGGTGGTTCTTAGGTCTGAATTGGATTAAGCCTAAGCCACAGGCATATGCTCTAAACGAGTCTGTTTTCTTGATGGTAAAGAGAAGCAAGGCAACAGAGTTGCTGCACAGACTTTCCTGGGAAAGCAGCTGCTGAGTTAGTGGAGCTTTACGTATGAGCAATTGGACTGCCTCATGTTCCAAAGGCAGGGACAGGCAGGCTGTCTTTTGCAGCTCTTGGTTTGTGTGCAGTGTGACAAATGACTTGCACCTTCTCTTTCTACTCAGCTTCAGCAGATCTGTAAAATTCTGAATGCACACATGGATTCCTTGCAGTGGATTGACCAGAACTCAGGTGAGAGTTGTCTTGCAGCTTTTGGTGAATGTAAATAGAAAGCATGTGGCCCGTGTGCAAGTGTTTCTTGGACATGAATGTATTCCTGAGGAATCTTCTCCTCCTCACCTGCAATGACACTGTCCTTCTGTGCTTGAATGCTCCTGGTGTGCATGAAAGATCTCCGCTGAGAAGGAATTGCTGGCAACTGGCAACGTTTTACAAAAAGCGCTGCTTGAAGTGCATCTGTGCAAAGCAGAGGACTTGAAAACCTTACGCTTTGTTGTGTCAAACTAAGGTGAAGTATTTCAACTCCTTTTGAAGAGGACAGTTGGTGAGGGGGGTTCAGTGTGTGCGCATGTAATGTTATCATTCTGCCCCGTCCCCAACGGGAAAGCCAAGTGCAGGTAAGACTGAGCAGCGTGCGGTAGCTCTGGAGCGTGGAAATCCCACAGCAGCAACAGCTTGGGGTGTAGTGCAGAGCGGAAGAGGCACTCAGTAGTGAAAACTTGTTCGTGTAGCTGCTGTTGTTTCTTGTCTTGGATTCACCCTTCACTGGTATACGACGGTGCCGCACTAAACACAAGCAGAAGAAAGGAGCTTTCCTCAGAGGGAGTAGGGCTTCCTTTTGAGGGCTTCAGGAATGCTTCATGGTTTTGATTGTACCTGAATTGAAATTGAATTTTTTGATTGTACCTAACTGAAAGCGAGTTTAGCAGGAGGTAGGCAGGGGCAGCTGGTTTATAGAGCAACTGGTTTTTGTCAAGCTGCAGACCAGCTTGGGGTTCGTGTTCAGGGAGGGTTTGCTCTGCTCTCTGGTCAGAGTCGTAGGTTGGGAAAGACCTCCAAGATCATCAAGTCCAGCCGTCCGCCCACCACCACCATGCCTGCTAAACCATATCCCGAGGTGCCACACTTACACGTTTTTTCGAACACCTCCAGGGATGGTGACTCCACCGCCTCCCTGGGCAGCCTGTTCCAGTGCCTGACCCCTCTTTCAGTAAAGAAATCATCTAATCTGAACCTCCCCTGAGGCAGCTTGAGGCTGTTGCCTCTCGTCCTGTCGGTGCCCTGAACCTGCAGCCAACTGGCACAGCAAACAGCGTCCACAGCGTGTCCCTTCCGTCTCTGCCTGCCAGTCCCTGGGTGCCTCAGGATACTCTTTAAGACAGTCGTCTTTGCCCTGGGGCGTTAGCAGTGCTTTGTGTTGGGTTTCCTCCTTCCGTGTGCACTGTCATACCCAAGTGATGGTCAAAGTTAAAATGGTTTTCATCCTCCTGCAGGCTAGACTGTGCAGGGTTGTGTTTTAGGGTGATGACAAGATTAATCCCTTGTTTCTCCCGCAGCGGTGTTGCAGAGAAAGGTGGAAGAGGTGACAAAGGTCTGCGAGAGCCGCCGCAAGGAGCAAGAGCGCAGTTTTCGGATCACATTTGACTGAATGACTCCAACTTTAAAGGATTAACCGAGATTCGCCACAGAAAACGGGGGTTGTTGGGAACACAGGCCTCAAACTATGGTCTGGGTTTGTTTCTTTTCTCACTATAAAATTTGTTGTTTGTTCCCAAGGCAGTCTTTGCAGCATCTGACAGGATTTCAGCCCCTCCAGTCGGTGAGAGACTGCCTGAAGTTTGTGCTGAAAGTACGAGCTCTTTGTCTCTGTTGTTTGTAACTGCCTGCGGACTGGTGAGGCACACGGGTGCTGCCTGGGGGGGATCTGGGCGGCGTGTGACCCCGCGGCTGAGCTCTCCAGTGCTTAAGTGTGACGTGACTGTGTTCAACGGGGACTTCCTAAGCGTTTATGGAGGTCCTTACAGAGACGGTTTAGTGAAGAGCTGTCCTCGGCAGGAGCTGCAGCCGTGCGAGAGACTGGAATTCCTGGTGCGGCTGGCTGGAGTTTGTGTTTCAATTGGCTGCGCTTCCACTTGTGAAAGCGGGCTTTGTTTTCTGTACCCTTCTGGCAACAAACTGCTTTTGTGCTGGTACCTGTAAGCAGCATTTCTACGCAATTAAAAGTTGTTGGTTGTGCCAGTAGAAGCAGGGTAGTCGTGTGGTGATTTGGTGCAGTGTAGCTTGTTCAGTCGCAAGGGTGGGGGAAAGAACGCGGTCGGCGAGTCTGCTGTGAAGAGTTTGTGAAGGAGACGGGGTCACGTTGCTGCATATTGATGAAGGGCGAGTGCGAGGCGTGCTCCAGGGGATCTTTCCTGATGGAGGGAAGGGAATGGTGGCGTACGTAGCTGAGCTGCCCTTGCACTCGCTTCTCTTCTGCAATTTTTGCTTCTACTCTGCAAGGCGCTGCAGGGGTGCAGAGAGTGCTGGGCTTGGCTGTGGGTGTGCCTCCCTCTCCCTGCACGCCACCCCTCTCTGTCCCGTCCCCCGGAAGAAAGGAAAGGGCCCTCTTACTAGAGCTTTTTACTGACTTGTTGTCCTGGTTTTGCTGAAAATGGAATCCTTTTTCAGTGAATGTTCCTTACAGCCAAGTTCTTCTAATTAACTGCATTTTTCTGAAGCTGGCTGTGTGTTTTGGAGACAGTGTGCACTCTAAAGCTGGTAACAGCTGCTGTTTATAGTTATACTGAGCTAACGAGAGGAAAGGAATGCAGAAAAAGGCCCCTGTTTGTAATTAGCACTATAGCAGCCAAGGTCACTGATAGACCTCTT